GTGTTTTGAGGGGGCTGGTGGTGGGATTGTGGAGGACAGTGGGTGGGTGATGATTTCAGGTGGGATGGGTGGGTGTGCAGTTATCTTATTTTATTTTTGCAAAACCTTGAATTTATAATTTATTAACTGATTTCTTTTTAAAAATTGTCTAAAATATTTTGAGTAAGATATTCTTATTCTACGTTAGATTCTACACTTATTTCATATATCATATGTTAATATTTCCTTAAAAACTTTTCTCTATAAAAGTGATCACTGCGGTCGAACCCGAGGTCACAGGACAATATAAATTATATATTCTGACTCAGCATTGAATGTTCTTTCATATCCAACCAAAAAATCCCGAGTGCCAGCTTAGGCAGAATTGGACGATCTCCTTTAATAGCAATCAATTGGGTTTTCATAATAATTTATAAATTCATAATGTGTAAGTTAACATTTTATTAAAATAACCGAAATTGTTCAATACTTATGTTCCCACCAAATAGTTATTTATATTTAAAACAAATATCTAATAAAAACGACCTTTATTAAATGATTCTAATCTCATGTTCTCGACTCGCAACAGCTAATTTGAGTTAATTAATACTATCTGTCCGATTCTGGTATAGCGCGCGTTGAAAGTTTAAGTACATGTGGCGCCATCTGCTAATGGCTTACAATGTGCTCGATCACAACAAGTATCGACAACACAAACTGATGTCAATGGCGAGCAATTCGTGCAATCAGGGTAAGAACCGCAATAACCAGAGATGGCGCAAAAACCAGTTCCGTTTGATGTTGTGAAACAAACGCAATCATTATTTTTTGAACACCCCGACCAATAGGGGGTGGCACATGTTTGACCAGTGCATCCTAAAACAAATTATAATATAGAGAAAAAAGTAAAGTACAAATTGACACTAATTTTTAACAAACTGACCGGCAATACAATTGTAATCCGAATCGCACCGATTTTTACCAACTTTCTTACACCAAAGGGAGTTTCGTAACTCGTCAGCTGCTGTTTTCCAATTTTGCTTATTTAATGCATCTAGCATATTGACATACTTCTTTAGTTTAGGACAACCAGCGAGTGCCACGTCAATAATAGCCGCTCGTTTTACAGGCGGTAAACCGGGGGCGTATCGATCGACGCACGCTTCAAATTCCGGGTACGTCATGGTGTCGAAAAGATCTTTACCATCCGCGTCGGTCAGGCAGTGGGTGGTCGTTTTATCTTGACAATCTTTTAATACGTTTGACAGCGTTAAATTGTACTTGGCCATAACTTGAGCGGCATCAGCACGTTGCAGGTTGAAGCCAATACCGATCGTCGGTATGTTTTCCGTGTCGTAATAACAGCACAAACACTCGCCTTCGATGAACATTG